AATTATGAAACGACTTGTGACGATTCCCCCGTATTACGTGAGAACACGAGGACATGCGAGATGCGTAAAGTTCGTTTTATAGAAACTTCCTCTGTTTTCTTTCTCTGTGTCGCCGGAGACGACGTCTCTCCCGGTATCTCCCCTATCTCTCGTTCTCGTTGATATCGTTATCGTAGCCTTCACAATTGTTGCAATCTTATCCCAACAATGCTTACACGATGCTTTCCCTCGCAACGCCCCATTCGATTCCAGCTAATGAAAATCTCGGTCGATTTGAATGCGAAAAACTCGCTCGTTTGACGATCGAACGGTGCTTAATCTTATCCGGCACCGCCGTAAATCTAACATATCGTTTTATAATTCTTGTATATCAATTATGAGTTTTTCAGGGTCGATTTAGATAGAGTCGTTTAATTTTAGCGATATTAAATTGATAGTTAAAAAAATTCTGCCTTTAGCATTGGAGCAAATTTGTAAATTACGTTATCTGATAGACGAATTTTCCATTTGTTCCTTGAAGATATGAACAACGCAGATATTCTCGATCTCGGGAAGGTAACTTCAACAACTCTCAGTTTTATGCGAAAATCCCCGTCTTGATACGCAATGCAATAATAGCAGCAAAATTGCGTTCAAGGAGGAAAAGAATCGCTCGAATGGAACGAATTCATGGTAGTTATATACGTGTCTTATCGTACCACGTGGTGGGGAGTGAGTCATTCCAGCTACCGTGGGGAGCTCGCATACAAAAAGCCGGTGATGGTTCGCTTTTTTTTTTTTTTTTTGCGGAATATTAATATCCTGCGGTGCAAATAGTCAATATCTTTTCCGCGTTTATTGCTCCATCGGGAAATACAAGAATTATTTATCGTTCGAGGAAAATATTTTCAAGATGACAAGTGTCATAAATTAGAGATAAAAAGATAACAAATAAAAAGAATTTAGTATTTGTCGGTCTTTTAATTCTGCAAGTCACGCTCTCTCTCTCTCTCTCTCTCTCTCTCTCTCTCTCTCTCTCTCTCTTATTCTCTCTGTTTCGGTTCTTGCCATATTTTTGTGCGGTTTTTTTCTTCAATAAACTTGCAAATTTCAACAACGCTATTTTTCGCGTTTCAGGAGTTACACGCTCGGGAATATCTTTGTTGTTTGCTTAGGTAGTTATCGATACAGGTGCACCTGCACCAGCGTGTGTAACAATAGCGACTCTCGGATGCGAGCTATTACGCCATAATCGCAGGAAATAATGTTTTTGGAGGACGCGCCAACGGTTTCGTGACGTTGATTAATTTTTGTTAATTTCCGCGAGCTTTGTAAGCCGAAGATTTTTTTCAACAGTTATCAAATAAATGCGCGCACATTTCAAAAAAAAAAAAGCTCTTCTACTTTCCCAACGAATTTCCATTTTCGTTGATTTTTATGATGTTACATAAATTCTGCATTCATGTTCGATTCGTTCAGATGTGATCGCATGCGTCACGATCATATTACGTATAGATTTAATTTGTAGAAAAAAAATAACGCTTCTTAATAATAAAGAGACTATTGTGTTTAATATATAGCAATTTGACTATAAATATCAATAATTTAAGAAAAATATTCATACACAGGATTATTTAAAATTTAAAAAAATTTATACTTACGTTATTTAAAAGATTACACGATGTGTAATCTTTTTATGAGAAAAAAAATCTCTCTTATTGATATATTATAATTCTTGTAAAGATATAATGCAAGGTAATTATCCTCTATTTAGGTGAAGATATGAATATGTAAACAACGGATGACAGAAAACTTCATTCTTTCATGAAATTAACACCATACCAGTTATGATAATGGAATGTGTGGGAGGCAAACGATTAAGAGATTCTCCCTGTACTGTAGGTAGTTATAATTTATGTGAAATTCTCTCAGAAAAATCTAAATTTTATGATATACATAACACAATTAAACAAAAATTATATATTATTAAATAAAAAATTATATACTTTTCTTAATAATTGGAATTATTTTAACATCATCATCAACAATCAGAATCATTTACCTTATTTATGGAAATTACAAGTTTATATTTTTATCTATAAAATAACATTTCTCTCTAAATGTCGTCTATTACGTGTTTTATATGTCATCTTGTTAAAAGGACTCTTGCCAATGATGCGTGGATCGATTACATAATAGAGGCTTCGAGGAACTTTATATACAACTGCAAATTGTGATATTGCAAATTGTGCTCCCGATACACAATTAATAGCCATCCTGCCATTTTCCCATACCGAAATGGGACATTTCCTGTTTTTTTTTTGCGTAATACGACCAGCACAAATGCAGAATAATGTGCTATATTCCAATTTCCAATGTAAATCTATCGCTTTTGTGATGTATATAAGCATTTCTTTGTTCAACTTTAACGAGCAGTTGAGATATATCTGTAATGTTCATTTTGTCGACAATCATCCCTTTTGGATTCTTACAAGTTACCATTTATCCCTTTAACATACAAATCGAAAATAAAATTTTGTATAACGCAATGGCGACAGCGAGGGAGACATATCGAATTCCGTTACTCGATCTTATTCGATTTCCGTGTCTCGTTCTAGAACGATTTTAGAGGAAAGCGTGCCAAAAATCTGCGCACGTCTCACCTGAATACGTATGCAGATAACGGGGGATTCCTCTCTCGAGAAGGAATCGAGTTGACGAGCATTTTGCACCACGTTTTCTCGCGCGTGTAGATATAATTAAATACTCGTCTGCGGCGATAAAAGCATGGTTTTTTTCGCGATATGTGTGCGCGATACTAGTTTTTCCCCCTCCCTCCCCCTCGATTTTTATTCTTGCGTCAGCGTGTACGTGCGAAAAATTATACGTTGCTTTGCTTTAAAGAGCACAGGTGAATTCATATAGTCGATAGCAAAAACTCGCCGATTATTCTTCTACTTAGCGGTAGTCGCAAAAAATAATTACTATTTTTTTTTGTACTAAAAATAGAACAGCGTACCATTACGACGGTGCTCTATGTTTGACTCAAAGATTTTGAAGTATGATCCCGGTAAAATCCCGTGGATTTTTAAAATATGGACTTTGACAGAAAATTATGTTGAGTGTTTCGGTTGAGTTCACAAAGAGAAAAAAAAATGTCACTCATGCGAAGCGCTCGTTCATGGTCGCCGCTGTCTCATGGCACAGATTTCTGCAGTTTTATAGGACCGTTGCGTCAATGGCAGCGAGGAATAAAAACGTCGTGTGCAATGCGCGCGAAAGTCTCGTGAGCGAAGATACCGAAGATATTGCGATAATGTCACATAAAGTCTCTATGCAGAAACCGTGTGCAAAAGTAACTACGAATCGACCTTGTTATTTATCTTGACTCTGATTTCTTAAATGTAGGATGTTTTCTATATAATTTAAAAAAATGTTGACGTTCTCGAAATCTCGTAAAATAATAAGCACTAAAAATAATTGCCGCCTATCATGATATTTGTCTCTTTGAAACGAAGAAATTTTCCCTTTGATATTTTTTTGTATTATTAAAAAAGCAAATACTTTAGATGATTAAGTTACTGGAAACATTCTATATATATCGTGGAACAAAAAATCATGTTAGGCGCTTCAACATTTAATATCTAATATCATTTTTGTATAGATTCGGATAAAATAAAACCTGAAAAATTACAATTAAATTTTGCTACAATTAAATTTTGATATTGAGAGAAATTCTAAAATTAAATGATGTGACATTTCAGTATTTTACACTAACGTTTTAGTAATATTCTTACACAAATAAATTTTGTTCTCTGTCTTCGTTTTGTGTCTAGTTGTTACACCAATTAGTTTAATTATACACTCGCTTTTAATTATCGGGACGGGCAGTTTATTACGAGGAAAGCAAAGGGGTACGTCACGGGATAGTTTCGTATCGCGAAATAAAATAATCACACAGCTGTGCGACGATAATTCGGAGTACTGAAAGCCAATCGTACGTGAAATTCCAGTATGTAGGACTGTAGCGGCCGCGGCGATAGCCGACTAACATTATTTCGAAGGGATTTAAACGGTTCGCGCGGCACGGGGAAAACCGGTTCTCTCTCCATCGTCGTGCATGACGCCGAGTAATGGAATTCCTTTAAGTACCGTTCAGAGTTGCATCAGGATCCAAGGTCATTATGAGTATCCCTCCGCGGGCAGCGATCTTTATCCCGAACTGGCGTACTCGCCGGGTGCGATGCTGGCTGAGAAGTGGCGCGATACGATCGCGAAATATCACGGGCGGAAACTCGCTATCTCGTTAAAGCCGGTACGGTAGGCGTTTGTGAATCCGACCGTATTATGCGGCGTGCAGTTTTTTGCTGCGCGCCGCAGAAGGTTGCGCACCAATACGAGCGAAACGTCAAAAAACCGCAGTGTCATTCGGCTTAAAAGAAATATCTCGTCTCGTTCCGTTTCTGCCTGCCTCGCAACGCGGACGTGGCGCGAGCGATCTTTATCTGGATATCATTCCAGTAAGTTACAATCGCGAATCGCCAATTGAAAAAAGTTAGCGCTAATAACAAAGTTGCACAAATTGAAACATGCACGTAATGAAATTCGATTTCTATCTATCTTAATTCTGATTATAACCGCATATTACTTTCATGTCTACTTATACTTGTTATGATGTCTAAATACTACTTGGCGGATAAATATATAATAGAGATATTGCTTCTTTATTTTATATACATTTAAAATTATTTATTATACAGAATTTTCTATTTTTCACGCATTATTATTTAATGAACTGACTGTTCGGATTTAAAATTGATTTTTTTCTACATTTTTTTCTTTACTTTTATTAATTTTATGTGTATTTTTAAATTATATTTTTATACATTCATATTTATTTATAAATTGTATTTACAAATTTATGAATTAATAATTGTTAATTTAAGTATTTAATTAATAATTGTTTAATTTTAATTTTCCCTTTAACAATCTCGTATCTCTTTTTTTTCCTTTTGTTTCAGAGCACGCAAAAGTCCATCAACTCCAACGACACGGCGCATAGCGACAGCACCGTCATGGCGCAGACGACGACCGGCAGCAAAGAATCGTCCAACATGCGGGAAAACGGCAACGGCGGCGTGAATCACGTGCACGGCACGGGTAACGGTAGCCTGGGGGTCGGGGATGGTGCGAACAACAGCGAGCCTCCCCGATCTCAGGGCCTGAATCTGACGATGAGCGCGAAGGAACTTAGGGAGATGCTGGCGCAGCGCAAAAAGTACGACCCGAAGAAGGAGACGATCGGCTTCAAGGACAAATTCGACATCGTGCAGAAACTGTAGACACATCCATATGCCTCCTCCTCCTCCCGTGTCAATAATCCTTCACTCCCTATTCCTTCCCTTTTCGTTGTCATCGTTATTGTCGTTATGCGCCCGACAAGGACGGCGACGATATTCCTCCTCTAAAAGATGTAATGCGTCTTGTTGTAACCGATCAAATTGTTATCGTTATAATAAATATACGATTGTTTAGATTATTCGTGGGCGCTAAGCGTGATGATGTCGATATCGTAACATTCGTACACTTGTTTGCAACGACCGGAGGTTGCTGCGAATAGCGCTAGGATAACGAAAGGAGCTAATGCTGCTTGTATAAGTACACTGTTAATTTTTAGTTTACACGAAAGTGAATTTGCATGTGCAATCCTTGTCGCTTCCGCGCCGGAAGTTACAGCAGATTTCGAGTCACCGGTTTATCAACATTTAACGTAAAACTATGAAATACGAAGAGAGTCGTTTTTAGCGAGAATCATAAAATGCGTTTTCCACTTTTATTTCAGGTTATTAGTTTTTTTTTTGTACAATTTGTTATCATAGATACATGATAGCCCGAGAATAACGTTTTTTTCTTTCCCGCAGTAACAATTTAAGTCTTAAAGATGTTCCTGTTGTAATTAATTACAACGTATTTCAATGTGTGATTAGTGGATAATTAAATCTCATTATTTCTCGACTCGATCATCTATGGTGTCGTCATATTCATTTCTAAGCATCGTCTCTCATCCGTTAAATTCGGGAGATCCATTCGGCACTTCTTCCCACGACTTTCTCCGCCGAGAATTGATCGTCGTCTCCTGATGTAGTAATCGCCTCGAACGTTACGTCGACCATGCGAATTCTTCGCCGATTGAAGACGTCTTCTAATTTTCAATCGCAAGTAAGAAATAATCTCCAAATTATTCTCGCGACGTGTATTAACAAATTGAAAATTTATCTCGAGATCTTAAACATTTTATTGATCCATAGATCAAATGTTTAATCACGTTCAGAAATGATAGAAATTCAAATTTAGCGTAAACCGAAGTCCATGATAAATATCCAATTATTTAAAAAAGAATTTCGGCTATTTTAACATTTGTCTTTCACATTTCGCAATTTTCCGCTAATCGGCTCGACTTACCGTTCGATTTATTGCAGCCGTTCTCGGTTAAGACTGTGTAATGGGGGATTGTCACGGTTGTCAGGACGACAGTTTGATGTCGACACGCGGGGAATTTGACGCGCGCGGAATCTGTCGCGCGCGAAGCGTAAATAATGTACGTACGCGAGTCGGTCAAACGTTTGCCGTTGCAAAATTGACGCACGGACATCGATTTTGACTGCATTCGAGGATTCGTCGCGTTCGAGGATAGTCGCGGCACGGCTCTGGAGGATCCGCAAGGACGGACGTTCCTCGCGTGCGCGCTGCAACGGGCATCTATGAAGTCAGTCAGTCGCCCGTCGTGCGGTCCAAGGACGAGCGGATCTGGGAGAAAGTGCGGCCGAGACGTCGGACGAGTCTCGGTTTAATCTCCGTTATCGAATTCAGGACGCGAGTCGGTTTTATGTTGCAACACCACCGGGCGGATCGACAACTCGGGACTCGAACATCCGCGAATTTTATAAATCATCACGATCATGCCGTCATCTCTCTTTTATTTCGCTCGGGTCCGATTCGGTACTTAACGCGGTTAATTGAAACGCCAAGATTAACGTAGACATAACAACGCTCGCGTTTCGCGATTGTACTTCTCATTACGATAAATAATTCCACTGGTTATAATTCAATTTGAATTATAGAGAATTATCGCTCGAGTAATGTTGGTAATTTGACGCACGTCACGGAATTGAGCTAACATAAGGTAAATTTAAGAATTTGTGAATTTCTCTTTTGGTTTTTTTCAAACATATTTCTCACTCACAGTTATTTTTAGCACGATAATATCGTGCAATTATATTCGCGACGTGATTTTGTTTTCAAAAGGGATAATAAGAGATAATAAGCTTAATCTCCCAATCACGTATTTCCCGATAAGAAGCGGTATCGAAGCCGATAAACGTATAGTGACTAATCGAACCAGTTTAATTTCGCTGTAGTTACGATTTAATTGCCAGCTTAACGATCCAGTTATCTCAGGTGATAGAATGTGAATATTGCCTAGTGATTAATGGAATGATCTTGCATTTCCTATGCATTTAATACTTAACAGCTGCCGAGACAAACGTAGTTGTTTGATAATTTTATTCCTAAAATTTTTGGAAGAATTTAAGGTATATCGAGTGTAATGGAAAAGCGGAAGGTAAAGTAAAATTATTGAAAGAAATTCATCATACATTACGCGAGTCTCGCGTTTTTTCATATCTTCATACTCTTCGTCTTCGCCTCTTCCTTTTTTTTTTTTTATGGTAACTTCCGGTTAACAACTGTCACGGTCGTTTATTGTCATATGTCCCGTGAGAAAATACGTGCTAACAGCCTCTGAATAATTTTTTTCTATCATTAAGTGCATTTTTCTTTAGGAATATATCATGCATTATATAGGAAAAGACAAAAAACAATAAAGAACAAGAAAACTTAAGGATAATTAATATAATAGAGTATAAAAAAATAGTTTGATTACAATTTTTATTTTCTATTTAAATGATCACGCAATCGCTGAGTGCCTGGAAAATTTAATATTACGCGAATATTTAAAACGTGTTGTTCATTGATGACGTATTTGTAGGCGTACATGTTCTTCGAAATATTCAACGCATAAAAATGAAATGCCTATTTCGAGCTGGACGAAATCAATTAAGCGGCTTCCTCGGAGCGAATATTATCAGAGAGCGACGATAACACGGAGGCTCAACAAACAGGTACTAGCGTTCTGAAATTTATAACTCGCGCTCGCGACGCGTGTTCGATAAACCGATCCGTCGAACGCGAAGGCGTTGTGTAATCAGCAGAACAAGAATGTCGCGTTACAATGGCAACGAGAGTGCGAGAGCAAGAGCGGCAGAGAGAGAGAGAGAGAGAGAGAGAGAGAGAAACGAGTCGCCTTTCGGGATTCGGCTTATACCTCGGTGCTTCTCGAGACTTGCGGAAAAGTTGGGTACATAACTCGAGACTCTCGTTGCTAAATATTACGACGACACGTTGCGCAACCTCTGATTATCGCCATCGTCGTTGCCGCCGTCGTTATGCATTCACTTATTGAGAGCGCGCAGACGTCGCGTTTCCTAGAGATGGATATTTTTTTTTTAAATCGCTACTCGACTTAAATCCTCTGCGACCCAAAACTGCAACGAAAGATTACGTCAAGGAACATGGGATACATGAGTATAGTGCCTTTTTCGCACAAATGCGCACAGAATCGAGTAAATGAAGCTTTATTGATCTTAACAAGCTAGGTGACTATAATTCGGCATTGGGACTTAAATCCCAACGATATTAATCGAATTTTTCTATTGTATAGGCAGACTTGAAAAATCTCCCGTAATATTTTAAAACACTTCGAGATGTTATATCTAAACGTGTTAATCGTTCTCGATATGTCAACATTCGTTCGAAAGTGTCGATCGACGCATTTAAAATGTAACCGGCATTACTTTGTAAGTTTATGATGTCGTTAATATGCATCGTCGAGTGCTTCCTGTTAAAATGGCAATTCGCTCTCGTGTCGCCAATAGCTATATCATTAAGCTTCGGATTTTCTTTTTTCGGGACGAACGATTTAGTTGGAGAACGCGGTTCTCGAGCAGGCTGTTATGATTTATCACGGAAACAGCAATCGCGGTAAAAGCGGCTCTTATGACATTAGAGCCACGTGTACACGCGTACCTGTTATTGTGTGCTAATTACATCTGTGCGTAGACCGTTATGTCATTTAGCGGCTCACTCGAGTGAAAGTATAATAATGAGACACCCTGTCGCGCGTCTAGAAGCGTAGAGTTTGGCAAACCAAAATATCGCATTTATGTTCCGTAAGTCGACGTCAATCACTCGGGAGATGAATGCAGATCTAAAAACAAGAGAGAAAGTTGATATGAATATAGGTCTGAAAATGCATTGTTTTTGAGTTATCGTCATTTTTACGTTGAAATTTGAAATTGCTCTGCTTTCCCAATTTTTTTGTCGAAATGGAAAGGAGAATTGGTCTTTATTAAGTTTTATAATATAATTAAAGTTAAATAAACATTGCTGCTTTTGCACTTAGAGTGCACAACTTTTATTTAATTTTAATTATATTATAAAACTCATGAAGACCATCTCTTCTTTCAATTTTGACAAAAAAATTCGAAAGCAAAGCAATTTGAAATTTCAACATAAAAATCGTTCAAAGCAACGCATTTTCAGATCTATCTCTTTATATCAACTTTTTTTCTTGTTTTTGGGTTGACCACCACTTTTCAAATACTCTGTATATCTATAATACAATCTATTATTGCATTGGAAAAGGTGTGCGAATGCGATAACGTAAAGCGAACGGTGAATGACTTCGGAAAGAATTTCCGTTCCGCGAAACCTCGCGATTGAGCACGATGGAAATCGGTGCAATTCCCGATTGTGTGACTCGAATGTCAGGTTTGAAAGAGAAATGATTGAAGCCAGATCGAGTTTCACGTCGACGTGCGGCAACATGTCTCGCTTTAAAGGAGGAGGCTTGGGAACAACGCAGGGACTGAGCGAAAGAAAGACTAATTTGCTTATAAAAGAGATCGATCGTTTGTAAAAACACTGGCGCTTTTGTCACTTTGCGTATATATGCCTAATTGATTTAATATCGGAATACCAATTATGCTATGATTGCTATGCGATTCGAGCGATGTGATCAGCTCAGGAGAGATTGTTATACTTCGGTAATCAATCTCCACTCTGCATGAGCGTGCGATATATCGAAATCTTGCGGCGTGATTACTGTTTTGCTCCAGATAGGCGTAGGGAAAAGCAGTTTAATCCCAACGACGCCGGCGCGAATGCGAAAAATGTGCGGCAGTGAAAGGATTTGCGTCCCAAACGAAATCACCGTTTTATTCTAACGATATTTCGCAAGGCTTCCACGTGTACTTAAAAGTCTTAGGCGCTTTATAGGAACTCACTTGATAATATGGGCATCGATAACGATGCGATACATATATTTTGCGAGCGATAGATACAGCATCGAAGAAAAACATCGAAAGGAAGATTCAATCTTGATAAATTAATTTGAATGATATTTGTAGAAATTTTACGATTGAAAATTTCTTAGACGACGTTATTGCGTTTCTCTCTTTTTTTTTGTCGAATATTATTAAGAGATACGATCGGCGTTTTATCATTAAGTTTATACGTAGTAAAAATATGGTAAAAGATTACGAAAACAAACAGTTTTAATTATCAAACAGTTGAGCCTACTAAATTGCTGCGATGACGAAACAGAAGCGATCACGGCGGGTGGCATTTAAATGTTTAAAAATTATTTAGAAAATTATCTTACGAATCTGAAAATGTTTTTTTTAATCAGAATTTCTGAAATCGCTCATATATTATGATTCGTATGATTAATCGAAAGGGGAATAGTCTACCTAATGCGATATTTTATAAGTCAGAATTTCGAATGACATTGTGACGCTCACTCGTCAATTTCAAATGTTACAAGCACGTGCGGATTAACGCTTGCTTTTGTTTTTAAGACCTCTTCTTGTTTCGTAGGACCTTGAGAAATTCTAATTATTATA